TCAGGGTTTATTAGCAATATTTATTGATCAGGTATCAGCAGAGCTTTGATGATTTATGATAAAAACACGACACATAAACACACTTTACCTTTATTGACAAACCTTTCTGGGATACGAGACAAAAATGTATGTTTATAACCTGGAGTTGTTATTTCTACAACATAGCATGTTGTTTAAAATATGAATTAAAGCTGAAAAAAAAACACATATATAATATAATAATCAGCATGACCTCTTTTTTTGTTTTGTTTTTTTTTTTAGAAAAAAAGAGGGTTAAATTACAAAAATATCCAAGAAAAGCCTGTAAAGTATAATAAAAATATCGTATTAAACTAAGTGTGCTGCTGCCACCAGAAGCTTGACTGGAAGAATCAGAGAAACAGAACAGAGATTAGAGTTCAGAAGCTTATTTCTGCAGCTTTTTGTGGGTTTACAGTGATGGCGACGGGGTCAGAGAGACGCAGCGGCGTTCTTAAAACCACAGGCAGCAGAACGCCTGACAGGGTTCCTCTGCACAACGAGCAGCAGGTGAAATCAGCAGGTTCTACATTTCTGATTGATTCCAGAAATAAACATAAAAGGGTACAGATTAGATTATTAATCTGTAATGGGATCATTTGTTGCCCTTCTCTGCTTTATGAAAGGCTGCTGGATCAGATAAGAATTGGAGCGTTTGATTTAGAACGGTCAGAACCAACATTTTTCCCGTCACCAGTTAAACTTTAGTCTTCCCAATCTGGGAATTCAGCAGCAGCTGAACTGATGAGACGGCTTTGAAGCTACATCATCAGAGTTTAAAACACTCTGTATCATAACGTTCCCATCCAGCTCGCCGGGACTCGTATTTCCTCTCCTAAAGAGGAAGTCTGCCTGGGGTAAAAACACTGCACTCAGAACATGAGGTTCTGAAAAGGGCCTGATTTATTGTTTTTATTCTGTTTCTGAGGAACAGGGATGGACGTAACACATCCTTCACCCGTGCTCATGCTCTCTCTCTGGTTGAAGACGACCCTGACTATAAAGTCTGAAGGCAATCATGTGTTCCTCTCTGATGATCTCAGTGGGCTGATCTGAGTGGTTAAGGAGATGAGGTAATACAGACAAGCAGCCACAGACAGAAGGGACTCCAGACAAACTGATGCTCTGAGAACAGCTCTGCTTCAAGTAGTGTTTGAACGCCGTACATCATGTCACATGAGGAGGAGGTGGCGTTTAGACTTGAAACGAGGCCATGCAGACAGACTGGGGTCCCTTCTCTCGGGGACGGGATTATCTGGCGTCGTTGAGCTGCCGGGCCACCGTCAGGATCTCCTTGGCTCCTTTGTTCAGCAGTAGGTTGGCGAGGTCGACGCCCAGCCGCTCGGCCGCGTCCTGAGAAGCAGCCGGCAGTTTGAGGGCTGTGACTCCCACCCTCTGGATCTGCTCGTCCACCTTCTCCCGGCTCTGCTGCAGAAACGGCGGTGAAAATGTTCAGCTGGAAAGTTCAGAGGTGAAAAGACGCAGCGGCAGGAATGCTTCCCCACTCACCTCGTCGCCAGCGGCGATGCTGGTCTCCATGGTTTCCTTCAGACTCTCTGATCCATCCAGGCTGTAAACGGCACCGGTCAGGTAGAGCTGCAACAACAGGCCAGGTTTACAGTCTTTTTCCTTTTGTTAACATTTTCATTTAGTTTGTCACAGTGGGACACATACAGGATCAGGTCGGGTCAAAACCTGAATTTGGCTGGAAAATGTGAATCAATTCAGTGAAAAGTTTGACTCGTGTTTTCAATTTATTTTGAAAGCGACATCATAAACGGTTAAATACACTTTGATCCATTTGCTGAGGTCAAAGGACAAAGCTGCTGGTTGGAGACTTTCCTTCAGAGGGAAGAAGAACCGAGCTGTTAAGAAAAACGAGAACTGAAAACACAAAAACTCAGTTTACACAATGTTTCATATTTATTTACTTTCAATATTGATATTCAATTAACTTTTCATGCTTTTTGTTGATATTTCTATTTTTAGTTTTATTTATTTTTTGGGTTTCTGAAGTCTGATTTGGTTTTTATTCCATTCTAGGATTGAGGACACAGCTGTATATCCACCATGTCAGGTGACCATGAAGCCGTTCCTGATCAGGTAAATCAATAATATGAGCGGGACAAAACGTTCTGCACCTGAATCCAAACAAAATCGAAGTAATATCATTTTTGGACCAAAGGAAGAGGGTTCTAAAGTTAGCTAGAAACCAGCGACCGGGCTCTA